TTACAGTGAAAACTCATTAATTTGTGTGGTAATATAATTGGATAATTATAATATTTTAAAAATAAAGTTTGTGCCAGTATTTATCTGCCAAATGCTAGGACATTTTCAAAAAGTAAAATTTGTCTGATGTAATTTTTAGAGCAATTTTAGGTTCACAGCAAAATGGTGCAGAAAATAATCATATGCCTCCTCCTTCCCCTATTGCCCTAAATGTGTACATAAGTAGTACATTTGTCAAAATCCATGAACCAAATAACAATGACACATCATTAGCACCCATAGCCCATCGTTTGTGAGAATTCACTCTTGATACTGTATGTTCTGTGGATTTTGACAAATGCCTAATGACATGTATCTACCATTATACAAAACTTATAAAACAGTTCCATTGCCCTACATTTCCCTTGCTCATCATGTCCATCCCACAGGCCCTCCCCCTAAACTGTTGGCAGCCACTGATGTCTTTACTTCACCATGAGTAAACTTGAGACATGCTCAGTGAAAGTGCTAGAAAACAAAAGGACAAATATATGTGTTAAATTTCACAGAAACAAAGCACAAGGGTAGTTATTGGATCAGCTAGAGCAAGGGACAGGAAGGAAATAGTCATTAATGGGTACAGACTTTAAGTATGGGGTTTTTTTAAGTGCTGTAAATAATGGTGACAGTTATATAGTATTTTGAAAGCCACTGGCCTGTATGCTTAAAAATGATTAACATGGTAATTTTTGTGTGCCATTTATCACAACTAAAGAAAAGTTGCTAGGGGTTGGTGAGATGGCTCAGTGGTCTAAAGCACCTACTTAGAACAAGCTTAGCAAAGCATGGGGACCGCGGTTCAATCTCCAACACCACATGCCAGCCAGCACCGCCCCCTGGTGGGCTGAGCTGGCCACACACACACACACACACATACATACATACATAAAAGAAAAGTTGCTAATAACCTCTTTTTTCACAATGGCCAGGAATAGAAAAACAACTATGTAATAATACAGGATATTCTTCCTATGAACTAGTTCATAAAAGTTTGAGAACCAGTAGTTTATACTAAAATAACTTGCTGTGCACGGTGGCACGTGCCTGTAATCCCAGCACTTAAGAGGCTCAGTCAGGACAACTACTGTGAGTTCCAGGCCAGCCTGAGTAACATAAGCGAGTTCAAGGCCAGCCTATACTACATAGTGAGACCCTGTCTCAAAAAAGTAAAAATAAAAATAAATAAAACAACTGACGTGGTTCAATTGGTCAGTTATTTGATTTTTATTAACTAAATCAACTGAATTGATGGTTATGTGTCCTAAAAACATTATTACAAATGTTATACAAGCTAAATCTTCACAAATAAGTTTAGGCTGCCTGAAAGAAAGACAACAAAAACAGTGCTTTGTTTGGGCCGGGGAGATAGCTCAGTAGAATAAGCACTTCCCTGGCAAGCACAAGGGCCTGAGTTCAATCCC